CTAAAATCAAGGAGCAACGGCAGTCTCGCAGCTTAACTGTTGTAGGTAAGCTACCTGTGAGGATCCGTATAAAATCAAGTGTTCGTCGTCTGCTCTCTGGCGGCAAATAAGGCCTTCACGTTTCAGCCCTTACTCAGTCTATTAGCTAGATCCCCTCACGAAACTGGTTTGCGATGGCATCCTGAAGCGACAAAATGAGCCTGTACCCCGTAAAGCCCAGTTTTTAGGTGTAGCTGAAGCATACAACTCCACAATCATCAGCATCGCCGCACCCATCATCCCAACGTGTTTCGTTCGGATATTCGATGTCAGATGCTTTTCTTAGCCATGCACGTCAATTAATCCTGAACGCCTACCTAAGCACCTGTTCGTAGGCCTGTACACATTTTGGCGCAGAGTTGTAAGTTTGCTGTGTATTCAGCTTTGCAAAAGAAGTGCCCGGTACACTGTACGTCGGGTTCAAACTGGCAAATGTGCATGTTGGACAACTTCTCAACTGAGCTTCCACTAGCGCGTCCTGGACATTTCCAGTTGCATCGGAGCAGGGGGCCCCTGCAGGCCCTCTAAAAACGCAAGCATGACTGGAATGAAACACGGAAGATTATCATTATAGTCATATACACATAGTTTCAGCACTGCAAGCACCGTTGAGTACGCCTTGTCTGCTAGAACGCACAAATAACAGTCACTCCCACCCCTACCAGAAAAAGCCTGTCTTGTCGTCACACACCGCTTTTCGTCTGAACTCACTGAGCAAAACTCTTCAGGGGCAGATGCAAGTCTTCGAGCACTGATTTGCTGATAAGATCTACTTTTGTGGGCCTTCAGTGCGATGAAACAGTGGACAATTAGATAGGCCATAGCTATAGCCATCGCCAAAAAGGTTGCAGGAGTGAGAAAGGCGGTGCTGCGCCAGACTCTTCCAACAGGGGCTCTCAGTCCTTTATACACTGGCATTTCACTTCCAGAACGACTGTTGATAGGGTCAAGGACAGGTTCTTCTCCTCCCCCGTGTTGGTCACTTTCCGCCCGCCCCAAGGGCAAGGCAAACAGCAAAATCAAGAGAGCTGAGAAACGCATTCTGTAAGGAAAATTCAATTTTTATCGCTTTCACTGTGTAAGAAAAAGAAATCGTTAAAGAAGGAAAGACTGTCGAGCATGGCACAGGTGCGAAGCTACACCCCCGGCTTCCTGCACGAACACGGCCTGACGGGAGAGTGTGCAACAACCCAAATTTTGCTGCAGCTGCTGCAGTACTTAGAAACCTGAATAGTTTTGGGGTTATACAATTTGTAACATAGATCTTCTGTCGAGCCTATTCAGCAAGAAGGGTTGGGAGTCGTTTAAGGGTAGAATGTTTCCTCTCTCCGAGACGGCATGCCGTCAGCCACGCGAACCTGCTCAGGCATAAACACTACCAGAGATGCCTTGTAACTACGCTGGCGTTATTTTATATTATCGAGTCGAGGCAGGTGGGACTTTATTTTGCAGTCATGCCTTCTCATTGGTTCTTCTCCGTCTCAGGCGTCAGTAACATCTGATCACCAGCATCGTTTGTCCGGCCTCAAACGCCTGTCCGATGCTGGCGCACGAACACCTAATCGACTTCAGTGTACGGCCCCGACTCAATTAAACACCCAAAAAAACAAGCACAACTCTCCACCATTTGCCTACAATGTTGGGACATGCGTGAAAGAACGCTTGCTTGCGCCTAAATGTGGGGCCTGCGCGCTCCATGGACAGCAACGTCTGTGGGATGTCAGCAAGTCTTGCTGAAGTTGGAACATGAACCCTTACCAGGCTATATTATTCAAACTGCACTAAGGCGCAAGATCTCATAGTGATCTTTTGATCTACAGTGATATAGCCAAGAAGACCTTTCTGTCCCCGAACGGAGGTAAGTCTTCCAACTTGAATTGCAAAAGGGTGCCATCCAGCCCATAGAAAACCACGTCTTCTCCCGCATTTCCAGCCGCTTACACTGATGAGCATAAGAAGCCTGGAGACTGGCGAGATAGGTCAGTTTCAATTAAGGAACTCTTCTCTTATGGATTTTGGTTCCATTGCAGCTCGCAGTAGTCCTCGGATAAAATCCGTGGCACCTTGTTGCACCTGGTAGCAGCTCATGATTTATGCGGTGCAAGTATGAAGACCACAGCTCACTCCCACAGCAGAGGGGCCTGCTGCACAGCCGCCAGTAGTACCGAATATTCACAAACGTACATATTCACAAACAAGTTATTTGAACTATCCCTCAATCTCTGTCAAATATCAAAGCTTTCGTTTATTCTTGTACAATGGAGATTGCCCAAAATCTGTCGACAGGGAGGGACCTGACCAACTGTTGAAAGCCTCGTCGAGTAAAATCAAGCGCGATTGGTGCGCCTAAACCAACGGAAAATGTTCTTACAGCAACAGGTCATTAAGAATGCCTCCGCCGCTCCCGGCGATCCAACTGTGACAATCGGTTCGATGTAGTTGAAGTGGAGGAGTGTTTTGCCCCTCAGAGGCGGCATTTTCGACGCTGATAAATACCAAAAGAACCACATTTGCCTCTGGCGCCTTTACCGTAATCGGGGGAGGCAAGGAAATGTCTGACATATAGGCAATCCTCGATCAAACTGACGAATGTAAGAGTTGTTCGGTGGTTATGGCGGCTCACGCATTACGACGTCAGGCGAAAAATATCAAGAGCATTGCAGACGTAGTCGTTGGAGTGCCCTGTCTGCGCCGTATCTGGCATGCACTGTCTCCTGCGAGGGCGCTGGTGCGGGATGATTTCCGTTTGCCTTCAAAATTGCGTTATTCCTCGTCCTTGGACACTCATGTGGCTACAGGTGTCGCTAAGGGCGGCAATGGGAGACGGACGATGCACTACAGCAACGACGAGAATGTCTTGAGCTAACAGACACAGGGTGGACTTCGAGGATTGTACTTTCCAGATTCACTTCCTACTGGGGTTTTATGCAAAATGCACGATCATGTTATAGCAGTCAATAAAGGGGCCAATGCAAGTGTAGAGCGAGTGGTCAGTTCTTCTGGTGACATTGGCTGCTCCTGCCAGCGTAGGAATAGGTCCGCACGTGACCACAATGTCAACAGCAAGAGCCACAGAGCCCTCGCAAGCCCAGTTTCCTTCCCACAACCGCCCTGTTCCGGAAGGGATATGGACGGATATCTCAGAGTACCTATGTTTAGAAACCCTTATAGTCCAGTTTTGGTCACGAAATATCCGTATGCTGTACACAGCTGTTTCCCTGTTAGAGGCTGGATTGACACAGACGGCACCATTCCCTTGAATATCTACAGGCCATTCCTACTGCGCCAACAATCAGTTCAGGAACCGGGGTTAACATGGCAGCATACGTTGGGAATTCGTCTAATTGTCCTGTAATCGTTGGAGTTGTATAGCCCTTGAGGCCTAAATATTTCGAATTATCTGCACACTCAGTTAGTGACCCATCGTTTTGCTGTGCAATAGTCTCTGACAGCCTGTACCGAGGCTAGCAATTAACTAAAACATATAATCAAAGCCAACATCATCACAGATCAGTCCACACATAAATATTTTGAAAGTTCTGCGGTTCTACTCACGGTCAGCGTGCGACCCTGATGTGACACATGGTTCACTGCTCGCACCTGCACCCCGTGAACCATGTGTCTTACCAAGTGGACTGCGTGGTGTGGACGTCCAGATCACGCACGTACATGCACTAGTACTGTAGACAATTGTTGAAGACTTATGCATGATTGCAGGCTGCAAGCTGTTTACTTGCTGCCAGGTTGTGTGCTCAGGCAGTTTAAGTGTTCGCGTGTCAACTTCGGACTGTTCTCGTTAGTTTAGATAGGTGATTGTCACCAACTTCATCCGGATCATCCCGCCTAGCGAACATCCCACAGAATGTGCTACGTGAGTGAGCGGCACGGGGAAAAGACGGCTCCACATGGAAGGGCAGCCCAGCCGCCTTTCCTGCATCCATTTACACCATAGACAATTTTGGAAAGCTTATGATTGCTTACACGTTGCTCCCTTAAGTGTAGGCTGCCTACTAGTGCAATATATGCATCGGACGGACTATCGACGGGTCGGCGTTGTTTGAGAGCTTAATTCCCTTTGCAGAATACGCTCATTAATGTAATTAATACCTTGTTATTATCTATGTGTACGACTATGGGTTTGCAGAATAGCGGCGAAAAAAATCGCAGACAAGCCGAGGCTCAGCCACTGCATAAGCGGGTATCGCGATCCTAGTGGGTGCCTGAGTGGAAACCGTTGTTGATGCAGGCAATCGCCCAACGTGTATCAGTGGTGCTCATTAAACGTGATTATATACATTATGTGAGTACGAACGTGAAATCCATTGGGCCTCCTGTGTTTTGCTGAGTCCAGGCACGAGGGACCTTCGCTGCGCAAGTGTTCGGTCTAGGATCCACCGCTTGGGGACGGGAGCCCTGCAGCGCATGCGGTGGTGTGCTGCAACTGTTGCCACGACAACCTGAAGAAATGTATTTAATTTAACCCTGTAATGATATACGCAAGTACTGTAGGGATTTCATCTTTTCCCCCTAGTTTTTTGTAAGTAGGCGCTGTAAGTATCTGCAGGCGCCCGGCGGCGGTCGCTGTCAGGCTGTAAGCGGTGGGGTTATAGCGGCGGCCTATCTTGTTGCCAGCCGTACATATTTTGATGATTGAATTATCATATAAGGGAGACGCATACAGGTTGCATACAGCTGTCCCTCGGCAAATTTCTCTGCAGCCATCAGGCCCCACTCATCTTTGGCAGTGGCCCGCGGCGGCATTATCCGCCGACCTTCGGGCCCTTTCTTGTGTTGCAGGGACAGACATGAGTGATGGAAGGATCAGCTGGTTCTCAGAGAGTGGCCCAGAGACAGTAGCCGGCACTCGAAGCCCAACCTGGAAGTGTGCGTAGTACTTGCGGGTACGGCAGCACAGTCGCTCGCCCCTGTATGCAGGCGAACCGAGACTCCAGGTCGCCAAGATGACAGGGACGCGACGAGTGAGATCGAGTGGCCTGTTGCTGTTCGCAGCAGTTGCTGCTGCTGGTGCCGCCGCCGCTTCTGCTCAGTATGCTACGTCGCAGAAGATGGACGAGGCTAGCGGAAATCCCCAGCTGCATGAGGAGGCGGCTGTGGTGCCCCCTGAAAATGCGCCGCCAAGTTTGGGGGCCCCTAGAGTATGGGAGGAGAATCCTGGGAAGGGTGAAGGTATGCAGGATGCTCAAGAAATTGCGGAGTTCGAGGGAGCTGCGGAAGAAGGTGAGAAGGAGACAGAGGTGAAGGATCGCATGGACGGCAGGCTGATGACTCCCGCACAGCGCAGGGTCGGCCCTGCCTATAGTAATAATCAGCTGGCAGGATTGCCTAATGCGGGTTGGGAGGGGAACACGCCGCAGCCGGCCAAGCCCGCTCGCCAGTGGGCAGAGGGCAATGGGGAGGCAGGCAGGGAGTGGACACGGGCCCTGCGCAGTGCAGGGAGTTCAATTAGGCGTATCTCTCGCCGCGTCTATCAGCGAAGTGAGGATTACTGGAAGGAGCCCCGTCGGCGGCGAGCTTTAATATACTTTGCTACAGTTACTGTTATGGCTGTGGCTCTGGCTTTTGCGGAGCACCGCACACGCCTGCGCGCTGCGGAGGGGCAGCAGCTACGGGAGCGGGAGGCGTTCATGATGGACATCGAAAGAGATATTGCGATGGAAGCGGAAGCTGTAAAGAAGGGGTTGGCCGAAGCTGATGCAATCAAAGAAGAACAAGAACGCGCCACTGAGCTTCTCGCTAAGGAACAAGCAGCTGTGGAGAAGCATCGCGCACACCTGCGGCGAAGAATGGCGGCGTTACAGGAGGAGCAGCTGGCACTCAGCGTGCGGAAAGCTAAGTCGCAGTTGGCTTCTCTGCAGGAGCTGGAGGAGGAAGAAGATAAACAACTGGTTCAAGAAAAGTTGCTTGAGATCCGAGAACAAGCCAACACTCTCTTCTGGCATGACGAGGAGGGGCGCAAGAAAGCAGCCGCTGCGCTCACCAAAATGTCGGTACTTGAAGTCGAAGTGCGATCGCATTACAACAGTTTGCTGCGAATGATGGATATGAGTTCGTGGACCCCAGAGGTGCGCCAGCAGGCGATGTGGCTGAAGGAACAGCTCCGGGACTCCGTCGCCGATCTCGAGATTCAAGTGCATGAAGCGATCCTTGCTTTCACAGACGACTTATGGGTGGCAATGGCGGAGCGCAAACTTCTCCTAGATCCTGGTTCCAAGGAGCAAATACGCCGGGGAATTGAAAGGCAGTGGCCTGTTCAGGCCAAGCATCAGCGGATAGTCGCCGAGATGCAAGACGAAGGGAGGGAGGCTTTGGAAGCCAAGAGACGCGAGATCGCCACGGTTAAGAACCTACTGGACTACCACATGACGAATCAGCAACGGGAGCAGATGTCAGCGCTTCTCTTTGGCTTGATGAGCACGGAGTTGTACCAAGAGAGCTTCCTGCGCGTCCTCGACGCAGACGTGGCGAGACACCTGGACCGCCGCGCTTGGCTATCAAAGATGCAACGCCTGCTTGGCGAAGCAGAAGAGCGAGCCCAGGCAGCAATGGAATCCTGGGGTACGGAACGCGCGGCGTTGGCGGAACTCAAGGGGAAGGTCAAGGGCATCAGAACCATCTTGGCTTCTCTAGACGACACATTGGACCTTTGCTTTACGGTTCACGAAACTTGGTACAAGAAGTGGGGCACCGGTGAGCCATCGGGGTGAGGAGTGGGCGGTAGGACCCCCTCCCTCATAGCATTTCATGAATTTGGCCGTTGTGACGCCGGCTGGACCTCCCTTTGCCCGCACGCTCTCTCCCCCCCCCCCCCCCCCCCCCG